GGAGAGGCAGGACAGAGGAGACGCTTGGACCACCCGATTTCTCTGCTGTTCTGCAACCCATGTTCTGCTGTCCCCCGCCCGCGCACGCTGTCAGCTGATGATTGTGGCTTGTTGTTACAACTACAGAAAAATGGCTTTTCAAATGCTGACACTAGCTCAAGTAACCGATGTTGAAAGATTTCTTTTCTTCGCTGAAACTGTCTCAAAGATAGGCAATGCAGCTCAGTACAGGACAACGCCGCCGCGCGCTTTATCAGAAAATAAAGAGACGAGCGTCATTTCGCAATGAGTGTAACGAGACTCCTTTTAAATACGAGTGTTCCAAGTAGTGTTTCAGAATCGGATTTCGGAATACAGTCCTCGGGGTGTGGTGGTGGCGGCGCGGAGGGCGAAGCGCCTGATTGTTATTTATAGTGTCGTCACAGTGTCCGAGGGAACGTTATATAGAGGGAATCTCCGATTAGTTACGCCCTGGAGTATCAGCCATAAAAACATCTCCGCCCGTCGCCCCATAGCACACACAACAGCGTCGTCGTGTGTGACCACAGGGCGTCACCACGTTCTCGGACAAAAAAAAAGTAGGGGGAAAAATCAGAGGGGAAAAAGAAAATCAAGCAGAATTGTTTAAATGATTCTCGCACCCGTAGTTGCGCGTTGTTGTATTTTAATATCTATATTTATTTTGCCACTCATTATTGTCATCATTACCAGAATTCGGTGCACCACCGTCGGTGCCGGGCGCGGGGCGGGGCGGACCACGACCATCATATTTCAGGAGGCGATACGCATCTGCTGCTTGTAGCTCCAGCCTCGTTTGTACAGCTATTGTGTAAAAGCGCGCGCCCCATACGATATCAATCGTAGATTAGGCGCAAAGGAGGCTCTAAATGAAACGCTGATTGAAAAATACGGTTGCGGCCGTTGCGGCGCGGGTTACGGCCCGCACGTACGACTGGTACCGTTTGTGTTGGACTTGGCGCGGGTTCAAGTACCGGCCGCGCGCAGCTGACTTGCAGCAGGGGTGGCGCACTCCCGATTACTGCCCCACTCTGAGGAGGGGTCGAAAACCGGCTCACGTAATTTTAACAGGCACTTTTAACAGGTTTGGAACGCGTCGGAGCATCATGCTTAATGCGGCTAAATGTACTCCGACACCTGTAATATTCCACGCAGGATTGGCTAACTTTAAAGTAGTGTCTAAAAATGAGCTTTTGCCATCACCCCTGAACAAAGTAATTTGACTGTTGTAAAACCTTACATAACATGCATGCTTATGTTATTTAGTCTTAGTGTAGTCCGAGTATAAGGGATCATTTGCTGAAAATTGCCCCGTACC